AACTATTTATGAAAATTTTCATTCATTTATTTGCCATCATTCAAATCAGTGACAGGCATGATACATTTCCTTGGTTCATTCAAGGAATGCTCATTTGGTGAAGGATAAGAAAAATAGGATTTTATTATTGAAAGAGCAAAAGGTATAACTAAGAATAACTCAAGGGTGAATAAAGACAAAATGTTGTGATTCATTCAAATAGGATATTAACATCTAAAATAATGATTATTCAAACAATTTTGAACTCCAACTAAAGATCATATTTCAAAAACACATTCCATTAATATTTTCAATCATTAAGCTAATCATCATCATCATTCTGGGCCCTTCACGTGAAGTTATTTTTTTGAGTTTTCATCTTTACTTAAACTACCTTTTTGAATTTTTAGTTTGAGTCTTTCTTTTTTTCTCTTTTTTTCCTTTTTTTTTCTTCTTGCTTCTTTTTTTTTTTTTTGTTTTGTTCTTTTTTTTTTACACATTTTTTCATATTTTTTTATTTCTTTTTTCCTTTTATTCATCCATGAAACTTTGATCAAAGCTTCAAACAATCCAATGGTAAACTTGCCCTAATTCAACTCATGGTTCTCCAAATCAAGTATTCATGTTTGATCAAAATGAACTTTTAAAGGATGTAACATAGGCTAGGGTAAAGGTTGCTAGAGAAATGGATAAAATAAGCTTAAATTATATTTGCAAGGTAATCAAACCAATGATTATTTTTTCATGTAGAGCACTTTGATATTTTACCCTATCAATTCTTTTTTTTTCTTTTTGCTTTTTTTTTTCGATGGAGCACATTGGCATTTCATCCCATCAATTTTTTTTATTTTTTTATTTCAAAAAAAATAAAAGGGCTTTACCCTTGAAATTACTAAAAGTAAATAGACTTTTCGACTTTGCCTCTCAGTATGGGGGTGATCCTTAGTTAAAGTTCTTCAAAAAACCTTCAATCAACTCAAATGAGGTAGCAAAGGATTTTTTTTTATTTGGAAGGATAGAAGAGAGATTGTTATTTCTCATTTCGAACATAAATACTCTCAACCAAGAACATTCATTGACTAAGTGCAAACTAGTTAAAGATTTCAAAGGTTATGTATCACTTTTCAAATTCTTCTTCAGACAACAATCTTCATCTATTAATCAAATTATCATGAATGATGTTTTTCAAAATCAAATCATGAATTATCATCATGACTGTCTGAACATTTATTATTTGTAATTAAAGAATAGATAAGGAAAAAAGTATGAGAAGGTAAAAGTAAATAATGGTGATTCACACAAAAGAGGAATGTCATGAAAATACATCATATCTATCACATTTATTAAAATGATGAAAAATAAGATGAAATCCATATTATTAAAAAATCCTAAGATGATAATCAGTTCTAATCAACCTTCCCAAAGTCATGTCCCTAGATGATTAAGCAAAAGGTTTTTATGGATATTCAGTTCCCTGATTCATTGAGGCTTATCAAGCCTACTCGAATCAAATTTTATACCTTATGCTTGAAAGTTGGACAGGATTTTATGGAGTGACCCACATTCCTATTATGGTAGTCATTTTGCATTAATATTGTACCATTTAGGATAAGGTGGCTTCAATAGTTTCAAAAAGACTAAGGATACTAGGTCATTCTTGATCAATTCTGAAAATAACTCAATATAGGTTATAGGGATAGGATCAATATGAGCTCTCTCTTGATTGACTCTGAATTTTTTTAAACCACTCGCTTGATTGTTAAATCTTGAAACTAGTGTAGTAATAGGATGAGGCCCATATGCAGGTGCTTGAAAAGCTTATTGATGAGGACTTAGAGCAATGTTGTTCATGGTTAGGAGATAAGGCTGGTAAAGAACTTGCATAACATTATTGGCTATTGGATAATAAGTAGGATGAACATATGATGGATATAGAGCATAACTTTTGGATTGCTGCCTTTCAAAACTCACCGCTTGGGCTTCATCCTATTCTCTCTTAGGTATCCCATCTTCTTTGGCACTGTCGATCTTTTCTTCCTTAAGCTTGCCACTCTTGATGGTATTTTTAATAATCTCTCATGAGGTCATCATATCAATAAAGTTATTTATTACATTTCTTATCATTTTTTCATAATAAGGCGACTTCAAAGTACTTATAAATAAAACTGTCATTTTCTTTTCAGTTAAGGATAACTGGACTTGAGCAACTATATCTCATCACTTTTGGGCATATTCCTTGAAAAACTCATATGTCTTTTTCTTCATACCTTGTAATGAAAGGTGATCAAGGATCATATCTATGATGTGACGATATGTTTGATGAAAAATCGAGTTAAATCTTTCTATAACTTAATACGGGTTCTATCCAACTGAACATATAACCTTGCAATAGACCCGATTAAGCTATCTTGAAACACATACATGAGCAGCTTCTCATTGCTGGCATATGCTATCATCTTACGATAGTACATTGCGATGTGCGTAATAGGGCACTTGATATCATTATATTTTTTAAATTCTGGTACTTTGAGTTTTGAAAGAATCATAATATCTGAAACCAGACAAAGGTTGGCAGTATCCATGGATCATAGAAATCAATGCGTAATAGGCTTGATCGATCTTAGAATCTTCTAACGACACAGCCGTATGTAATTTTACTTCTTTTTTGGTCTCATCCATTTTGGAAATTTAGATAGGCTCATTTGTCTTTTCAATGAAGATATGATTAATATAGCTCTGAACATTCCCTTGATCGGGTGCATAAAGCATTCTGTAACTCCAAAATGTGATATGTTGTGGCTAAAAACTTGGAGTAGTTTGGGTCTGATGTGGACCAAATCCTGATGAATATGGTGATTTAGTAATTTCGTGCAAACCATCTTCTTCCACCTCTTTTTCTTTGTTTATCTTTTCAAGAGCGTTCAAAATTTTTCTTAATTTTCCCTCCAATATCTCTTAAGCTTTTTCTATCCTTTCAAGATGATTTGCATTGTTTTGCTCCATTTTTTTGCTCTAGCTCGAGTATAGTACTGGTGTTGAGCTATCCTTGAATCTTAATTTCCCACAATTATGATGCAAATTTAGAATGATGTTTATGGACCTATCAAATTATGAATGAGAATGAATACAGAGATGCATGAATGCATACACAATAAAAAAGGTTAGTAAGCATAATATGCAATCTGCATGTATGTTTATGAATATGCGCAAGAAGAAAAGAAATAAAAAGAAGACAGAAAAATTGATTAGTCATATCAAAAAATAAAGAATAAAGACTATAAAGCAAGTAAAATAATAACATGACCTTAAATTTTGGGTTAACTATGAAAGGTGGAAAGATAAGGCTCTATCCATGGTTGGGCTTTTAAGGTTGACTATATGTGGTTTGGGTTAATTCTAAAAGGTTATCAAATTATTCCTTACATGTCTATCACAGACTAATAAAGTACCCCGATTTTCGCCTATCATAAGCTATAAGCGAAAATGATTCAATTTGAGTGAGAATATTTTGCAGGCCTATGCAAAGACATTAAATCTCACGAGGGCATAGGTACTTCACTCCTTTCTAAAGGTAGAGCTCGAGTGGAGAGCTTATATTTTACACATGCAAATGAATGACATATATCTACAATAAATAAATGAAAAACAAATATAAGTAATGAAAAAAACCAAATAGGAAAGAAAATAATCTCAAATTTATTAGGCAAGGCTTGGATAACAAGAAATTATTTACTGGCCTGACTCTCAATTTTTCTAGTGAAGTCGTCAAACTGTCATAAAGTATAGATCTGTGGACCTATCGCTAGACATGGATTAAAAAAATTGCCACCAATCTTTTTTGTTTAGGTGTGATTGGTCATCTAATATAGATTTTGATCATAGAACTAGATTTTAGGTTCGAAAATATGATTACGTATGAGAAATGTTATAATACTCTCACAGTGTCCATCCAAATGATGGTACCAGTTTGATTTTAAATTATCTTGAACATATTGGTAATTTACTAAAATATTTAATATTAAATTAGTATTAAATTATCACAATAATTTTATAGCAATTTAAAATAATTCTCTCATCTCAAAGGTATTTATGGAGATTAGTGTCTCCGCTCTAAAAAAACTCTGTCATCAAATTTATTAAAGTGTTTTAATCTAAAATAAAATAAAATTTTCTAATAATTTGATAAAAGTTTTTGAACTTATTTCCTCCTCTTTCGTCTTACCAGAAGTGCTGCAGAAGAGCCAACTTGCTTCCAGGATATTTGAGAACTGACTAAGGATGAGATTCAATGGACCTGGATACGAGTCTGAGTTGCAAATAAATGATAGCAAATCAGTATCTCCAGCAAAGGGATTGAAGGCAATGGAGCAATGGGCTCTTCCAAAGGGACCCCAAAACTCCATATCCATTGACAATAGATGGCATTAAGAGCCCAAGATTGAGTGAAGAATGCAGCTCCTTCGATGCCTGATTTTGGAGCTACATCTAAAGCTGATGAGGTGATGACACAACTGAATCGTACACAAGGACTTTTGCAGGAAGATCAGAGCAATTTATTATGAATTTCTCAAGGAGCTTGGTTAGCTTTTGAGAAATTAGTGTTGGTGAAAAGAACAATATATTCATCCACGCTAATATTTGCTCTTTCACCTTCAAATTATTTAGGCATTGTGTTGAAGGAGCTTGCTGAAGTGGTGATTTGGGTTTCACCCTAAGGTCTTCTGAGGTTTAATGCATTGGAGCATTGGGTTTATGCGACTGTGTATTGGAAAGGAAATACCAATTCTTCGCATCAACTCCGTTTCCCTCCCACACTCTCTCAATCTCTGCGTGACTTTGTTTCTAGCATTTGGGGAACTTTTGAAATGAATTTTGGTTGCTGTAGACCAAGGGCTGACCTCGGCTATATTTTGTGTTCCGATGATATGTGATTACTCTAATTTTTGCCTATTCTTCTCTCCTTCTCGAAGATAAAATATGGCACAACACAAGCTCCGGAAACAAAAGACCTTCCTTTTGAAGCTGCGGGTTTTCTTTGTTGTTGTTGTTGATGTTCTTCATTAATACTATTATCTAATTAATTACTTAATGTTGACTGCAAAAATGCTTGCTGCCTGCCTCGAAGACAAAGTAACTGGCTTTTTTTATTATTATTGTGTGTTTGATGTTTTCAAGGATTAACATGATCACTAGAATTAAAATTTTAAATTCTATAAATAGATCACACTGTTATTGGCAGTAAATGACCTCTTTACATCACTCTAATTTTGAATAACATTTTATTAGGATGTCAACTAGCATCTTTGTTAAATTATAAAAAAGAAACACAACAATTAATTTCATTTCCAGCTCTGCTTCTTTCCTCCCTATAGATAAAATGGACATTCTCTTTTTCTTTTTTTCTGTATATATCCTGGGTTTACTTGCATACCTAGTTAGATTTATTAAGTTCAAGTCTTCATCCAACTATTCAATTCTTGTAGCAGGCTAAAGAAACACAGGCAGGCAGTGCAGCTATTAACATCATGAGATAATATAATGCTAATTGCATGTAATTTTTGCCACAAATTCGTCTATATTCTTGTCAGAGCTTCCTCCTTCATCAACTGCAGCTTTGGCTATTTTCTTCCATTTCTCTGAATTGGTTTTGATATCCAAGCTTTTCTCTCCTTCCATAATTTCCTTTATACACCGTTCTATCTCCTCCTTTCTGATGATTCCTTTTTCATCCTTGCTAACTCTGATTCCCACTTCCCATACATCAGTAATAAACTTTGCATTAGTTGGTTGATCTGTCCATTGCGGCATAGCAATCATAGGCACCCCTAAGCTCAATGCCTCAAGCGTTGAGTTCCACCCACAGTGAGTCATGAAACAACCCACTGCCCTGTGAACTAGAACATCTAATTGAGGACTCCATGAAACTACCAACCCTTTCTCTGATGTTTCTTCTATGAAGTTGCTTGGAAGCTTTTTCTGTTCTGTTTCTCTAACTACCCACAAGAAGCATCTGTTGCTCCTCTTCAGCCCCAAGGCTAGTTCCAGCATTTGCTCCTCTGTCAAACCAGCTAAGCTTCCAAATGATACATAGACAACTGAGCCAGTTTCTTTTGAGTCTAACCACTTAATGCAAAGGTCACTCTCGGGTTTGAAAAGTTGGAGGCCATAATCATTGTCATCTTTCACTCGTTTGTCTAGATACATGGATGGAATTGCAGGGCCAACAGTCTTGATAGGCCACTTGCTTGACATCCAGTTGATTATCTGTAAGAAATCAGCAAAATATTTGGCATCAAAGACCGGGTAAAATACTTTGGCAAAAGATTGCTATGCATGCTCAATGACGTGGCTAAACTAATTTGAATATTCACTTGTGTAGGTTCTTCCTATTTCCAATCCGAAAACTGAAGATGAACTTCTTTTAAGCAGTTCAAAATATAAATAAGAAGCCAGTAAACTTTCCTGAAATTTGACAACTAAGATGAGTCTAACAAGGATGAATATGTTCGCATATCATGAAAAAGGTATGGTTGGTTGCATCCCCTGAAGTAGCAGCAAGTCTACCACAACCATTCAAACAACCTAAAAAGACAATCTTTGTAAGGTACCTTGAAATCCCTTGATGCAAATGATACAAGGATCTTAGGATGGTGTTTCAATACTAATAACTTGGCACCTATTAAAGATGGGTTCAGTTTTAGTATTCTTGCCTAGGTGAGAATGAAACTGTTTGTGGTAAGTGCATTGACAACTATGACCTTGAGACTTCTTAGATGCTCAGAGATTGCAGATTGGTGCAATGGGTTTCTGCAACCCGAACATGATACAATAAACCAAGCAAGATCATGTCCCATGGCTACCGAATTTCAACAAATAGAGTTGATGTCAAGCATAAATATTTGCAGAAATTTTCATTAAATAAACTTTGAAGTGCTATTGACAACTACGGTTGGAGTTTGTGGTGGCTTTTGAGATTTGAATGCATAGCAGCAAGTCTACTACAACCATTCAAACAACCTAAAAAGACAATCTTTGTAAGGTACCTTGAAATCCCTTGATGCAAATGATACAAGGATCTTAGGATGGTGTTTCAATACTAATAACTTCGCACCTATTAAAGATGTGCTCAATATTCTTGCCTAGGTGAGAATGAAACTGTTTGTGGCAAGTGGCATTGACAACTATGACCTTGAGACTTCTTAGATGCTCAAGACAGCAGAATTGGTGCATTGGGTTTATGCAACCTTGAATATGATTACAATAAACCAAGCAAGATCAAGACTCCATGGCTAACGGAATTTCAACAAATAGAGTTGATGTCAAGTATAAATATTTGCAGAAATTTCATTAAATAAACTTTGAAGTGCTATTGACAACCACGGTTGGAGTTTGTGTGGCTTTTGAGATTTGAATGCATAGCAGCAAGTCTACCACAACCATTCAAACAACCTAAAAAGACAATTTTGTAAGGTACCTTGAAATCCCTTGATGCAAATGATACAAGGATCTTAGGATGGTGTTTCAATACTAATAACTTCGCACCTATTAAAGATGTGTTCAGTTTTAATATTCTTGCCTAGATGAGAATGAAACTGTTTGTGGTAAGTGGCATTGACAACTATGACCTTGAGACTTCTTAGATGCTCAAGATTGCAGAATTGGTGCATTGGGTTTCTGCAACCTCGAATATGATTACAATAAACCAAGCAAGATCATGTCTCCATGGCTACTGAATTTCAACAAATAGAGTTGATGTCAAGCATAAATATTTGCAGAAATTTCATTAAATAAACTTTGAAGTGCTATTGACAACTACGGTTGGAGTTTGTGTGGCTTTTGAGATTTGAATGCATAGCAGCAAGTCTACTACAACCATTCAAACAACCTAAAAAGACAATCTTTGTAAGGTACCTTGAAATCCCTTGATGCAAATGATACAAGGATCTTAGGATGGTGTTTCAATACTAATAACTTCGCACCTATTAAAGATGTGTTCAGTTTTAATATTCTTGCCTAGGTGAGAATGAAACTGTTTGTGGTAAGTGGCATTGACAACTATGACCTTGAGACTTCTTAGATGCTCAAGACAGCAGAATTGGTGCATTGGGTTTATGCAACCTTGAATATGATTACAATAAACCGAGCAAGATCATGACTCCATGGCTACTGAATTTCAACAAATAGAGTTGATGTCAAGCATAAATATTTGCAGAAATTTCATTAAATAAACTTTGAAGTGCCATTGACAACTACGGTTGGAGTTTGTGTGGCTTTTGAGATTTGAATGCATAGCAGCAAGTCTACTACAACCATTCAAACAACCTAAAAAGACAATCTTTGTAAGGTACCTTGAAATCCCTTGATGCAAATGATACAAGGATCTTAGGATGGTGTTTCAATACTAATAACTTCACACCTATTAAAGATGTGTTCAGTTTTAATATTCTTGCCTAGGTGAGAATGAAACTGTTTGTGGTAAGTGGCATTGACAACTATGACCTTGAGACTTCTTAGATGCTCAAGATTGCAGAATTGGTGCATTGGGTTTCTGCAACCTTGAATATGATTACAATAAACCAAGCAAGATCATGTCTCCATGGCTACTGAATTTCAACAAATAGAGTTGATGTCAAGCATAAATATTTGCAGAAATTTCATTAAATAAACTTTGAGTGCTATTGACAACTACGGTTTGGAGTTTGTGTGGCTTTTGAGATTTGAATGCATAGCAGCAAGTCTACTACAACCATTCAAACAACCTAAAAAGACAATCTTTGTAAGGTACCTTGAAATCCCTTGATGCAAATGATACAAGGATCTTAGGATGGTGTTTCAATACTAATAACTTCGCACCTATTAAAGATGTGTTCAGTTTTAATATTCTTGCCTAGGTGAGAATGAAACTGTTTGTGGTAAGTGGCATTGACAACTATGACCTTGAGACTTCTTAGATGCTCAAGATTGCAGAATTGGTGCATTGGGTTTATGCAACTTGAATATGATACAATAAACCAAGCAAGATCATGTCTCCATGGCTACTGAATTTCAACAAATAGAGTTGATGTCAAGCATAAATATTTGCAGAAATTTCATTAAATAAGCTTTGAAGTGCTATTGACAACTACGGTTGGAGTTTGTGTGGCTTTTGAGATTTGAATGCATAGCAGCAAGTCTACTACAACCATTCAAACAACCTAAAAAGACAATCTTTGTAAGGTACCTTGAAATCCCTTGATGCAAATGATACAAGGATCTTAGGATGGTGTTTCAATACTAATAACTTCGCACCTATTAAAGATGTGTTCAGTTTTAATATTCTTGCCTAGGTGAGAATGAAACTGTTTGTGGTAGGTGGCATTGACAACTATGACCTTGAGACTTCTTAGATGCTCAAGATTGCAGAATTGGTGCATTGGGTTTATGCAACCTTGAATATGATTACAATAAACCAAGCAAGATCATGTCTCCATGGCTACTGAATTTCAACAAATAGACTTGATGTCAAGCATAAATATTTGCTGAAATTTCATTAAATAAACTTTGAAGTGCTATTGACAACTACGGTTGGAGTTTGTGTGGCTTTTGAGATCTGAATGCATACAACTCTGCATACACCAAGTTAAATCTGCAATATTGCAGATCACACTCATAACTTGGAGGAAAATCTAAGCATAACAATCTAACAAATATTCTAATCATAGACCTTTTCTTAGGCCAAAGAAAAATGATGGAAAAACATAACAGCTATTGAAAGAGATACAAAACAGAGAACCTTCTCAGGCAAAAACATGTATATGAAAAACACCCTAACCAGCCAAGATTTTGAGAAAAGTAAGTCAACATCTAGACTGCATAACAATAATAGCGCAGAAAACTTCAACAATTAACCCAATTCTCGAAATTTACCTCATTTTCTAGCTCAACAAAAGTGTTGCAAAAAAGCCAATCGGCTTCCTCAAAATTGGAGAACCGATCTATAACCATCTTCAGCAGAGTTGGGTAAGATCTAGTATCAGAAACAAACGATGGAAGATCATTGATCCCCAATACCGGCATCGAAGGCAATGAAACAATAGTATTCTCTTCTAAAGGAACCTTCAAAGTTCCTTGATTTAAATGAAAATAAATGGAACTATTAGACCAAGATTGGGTGAAAAACGATGCTCCATGAAGACCAAATTGTTTAGCCACATCTAAAGCCCATGGTAGAAAGGAATCATAGACCAGTGCTCTAGGAGGATGAGAAGACGAGGAAATTTGGTGTTCAATGAGATTGGCTAGTCTTTTTGAGACAAGGGTTTTGAAAAGATGAACAAATTCCTCTGTTCCATTTGCTTTATCACCTTCTGGGAATTCAATGGCCTGGGTGTTAATGGAGGTTGATGGAACTTGCATGGGCTTGGTCTGCTGGGAGTTGGTGGTAATGAAGGTTACTTTGGCACCTTTTGAAGCTAAGCGTTTGGCAAATTGGAGCATTGGGTTTATGTGACCTTGCACTGGAAATGGAAATACCACCACATTAGCTTCACCTTCATCATCTCTCTCTTTCCTTTCCATTCTTGTTCTTTCTTATTTCAGCAATTCCCTGTTTCTCACTCTTAGAAACTATGAATCTCTGAGCAAAGGGAGGGACCCTTTAGTACTGCCATGAACTGACAACTACCATTCTTTCATGGCCATTTCATAAAGAAAAGTAGACTTCATTTTGTTTGACTCACTGACAGAAGGAAGCCAATTTTGATTTGATTTGTCATGCCCTATGTTATGAATATGATTTTCTATTATCAAGTTTTTTTAATTTTTACTTTAATTATTTTAAATATCGAATTAAATTATATTTTAAAATAATATAATATATATTTCAAATGTTGACTAAAAAGATTCATAATTAAAAAACAATGAAACTTCAAAAAAAAAAAAAATTGATTGAAAAATCTTCTGGCAAGCAGGTGCTCCAGGGATATCTTTGGATTTGTAAAAATTTAAGGGGTGATTTTCATGTTCCAAATCAAATGAATATGAATAATAAATAATGCATCAAAATTAAGAAAATTAATCTCAATGTGAATAATAATGAATAAGATTTGAGAGAACTAATTTTAAGATAGGTTTGGTGTTTTTTTTAGTAGGGAAAAGAGAAAAAAAATTAAATTTAATTATTTAAATTAAATTGGCGTACATCTATTTGAACTTTATATTTGTCTGATGCTGCCAAGTTAAATAAAAAGATGGAAGACAAATGTTGTGGTGAAGGGAAGAGTACAGCCTTGGGTGCTTTAGTTTCAGCTCGTGACTAATCATGTCACCCCGTTTGGCATTAGTCAGGGTTCACCTGCTCCTTACCTTTTCCCAAGGGATTTGTCCCTATTTGCCCCAGAAAAAACCAAAGGTCGATGTTATAAATGGTCGTGAATTATAATGAATTGGTTTAAATTTTAAAATTTTTAATGTAATATTTAAATTGTAATAATGTATTTTTATTTTAATATGATGAATTTTCAAATATGTGATGAAAAATAATTTTTTAAATAATATATTTATTAATAATATTTATAATTTAAATATTATATATTAAAAATTTTTTAAATTCAAATTTCTAATCCAACATTTGATTGCACTTGAACGGCATTTGTCATTATCATGAAACAAAGACAACGTACATTTGAAAAAAAAAGGCAAAACATAGAAGAAAAGACAAACCATAATGCCAACCCAACCCAGAAATCAAGCTTTTAAAAGATTAAAAAGGCAATGCCCATTGGAAGTTTCACGGACGCATCTTCAATCTGTGGTTCTAGTTTTCCATGGAAAAATAATTAACAAAAAATAATAGCCTCAAAGAACAACCAATAATGATTTTGGATAAGGAGAAGAAAAAATAAGTGTCTGAATGGAGCTAACCTCATGTTCCAGCTTATCACAAGTGTTGCAGAAGACCCAATCGGCTTCCTGAAAATTTGAGAACTGATTTTTGACCAGCTTGCATAGACCAGGATATGGCCCTGAATTATCGCTAACGAATGATGGTAAATCACTGATCCCTAATTCTGGCATTGACGGCAGTGAAACAACAGACTGTTCCAATGGCACCCTGAAAGTTCCCTGGTTCAAATGATAAAAAATGACATTCACTGCCCAACACTGAGTGAAGAATGGAGCTGCTTGTAGCCCAAATTGTTTAGCCACATTCAACGCCCATGGCATACAAGAATCGTACAACAGGACATTAACAGGATGTTGAGAACAAGTTTGGTTCTTCTCAATGAACTTAGCTAGCCTTTTTGAGATCAGTGATTCGTAAAGTTCAAGATATTCATCCACGCTGTTCGTTGTTTCCCCTTCTTCAAACTCAATGGACGCGAAGTTGACGGAGGACGGGGAGGTTTGCATGGATTTGGAGGTGGCGATTAGGGTGACCCTCAGGCCTTTTAAGGCTAAGCGTTTGGAGAACTGAAGCATTGGGTTTATGTGACCTTGAATAGGGAAAGGTAATACCAGGACATGAGTTTCTCCAACACTCTGATTCCTCTCCATTTTCCTCCAACTTTCTCACTTTGGCAACTCTCACCCTCTCATTTTAATGAACAAAAACTATGGGTAGGTGGATAATGCCAAAAGGGAAAAGACAAAAAAAAAGCATTGTTGCATAAAAAGTTTGGATTTACAGCTGCTGATTGTTTACATTCAGAAATATGCAGGCATTATTAATTACTATTATAGCATGAAAATTAGCCTAATTATTTTTTATTTAAAAAAAGATTTCAAATCTTTTTAATTTTAAAAAATATATACATTTACTATTTAATCAAATAATTTAAGGACAAAAGTAACGGTATTTTTTAATATAACTGGACAGTAATTATTAAAAGGTTACGTAGAACCTGGCTTTTCTTTAAAAGTGCATTATTATGCTTTTTGCTTTTTGGTATATGCGTTATTATGCTTTTATTGTTGTTTAAATAGATTATTTAATCTCTTATATTAAAATAAGATATATTATATTTGATAGATAAATAATTATAAATTATGTATTCGAGATGATTTTAATAAATGATCATTAATAAAATTCAAATCTAAAATTTTTTCATTGAAAAAAATAACTTTAATTGATTAAATCAATCACTTGATAATGTATTATTATGCTTTTGAAACTGGAGAAAAGATTTTATGGAATTGCTATTTGGAAGTGTATATCTTTTTCGGTTTTTGTTTGAAGTTTTTTTTTTTTTGTTTAAATGATTTTAATAATGTATTTTTCATGCATTGATTTAATATATTTAAAATTTTATTTTTAAAATATTTTTTGTAAAGATGAAATTTTGATTTAATAAAAATTTTCTTTTTATGAATTAAATTAAAAAATATATATCAAATACATTAATAGTAAAAGTTTTTTAATTTCACAAATAACATTAATAAAATAATACATATTTCTTAATGTATATTTAAAAAAATAAAAAAGTTAATTTAAAAAAATGTAAAATATATATTACTCAATTAACCTCACTTATAATATTAAAAAATTCCATCAATGATGTATCAAATAATTTTTTTTTATAAACCAATCTATCACTATCGTTTTCTTAAAGTTAATTTATATTTACATTCTTTCAAGAGGATCTATGCATACATGATTTATAAAATATAATTAATTCCCTCCACAAATCATATTTAGAAATACATATTGCTCAGTCAAAATTTGATTAAAAATGATAATTTATAGAAATTTCTTTTATCTTGAAACTTTACTTTTGTCGTTTTCATTTTTTTTTTCTTAAATTCAAGATAAAACTTTCTTGAAAGAGTATTTTGCAATAGCACTAACATTGGGACACAAGATTCAGGAATCGAGGAGAGATATCTGATTATTTTAGCACGAAATTCTTGACAATTGGTTCTTGCCTGCCTTCTTGGCTTGCTGATGCATGGATGCCACTCATTAAGATTTTTTTTTTATGAAAGAAGATTTATATAAAATTTGTTAAGCGAAATTTGTGAAATTTTTAATCAAAATTAAAAGCTTAAAAAGTTTTATTATAAAAATTAAATATGTAAAATTTAAAATAATTTAAATAAATTTTTATACATATTTTTATATAGATATTTTTTGTAAAAATATTGATAAAATTTTTATTATTAATAAGTATAGATTAAATTTAAATTATAAATAATTTTTTATATATTATTAATTTTTACATTAAATTTTAGATTTAAATTTTTTATTAAAATTTTTTTAAATTATTTTTTAAAAAAATTTTACAAATTTCACCTTGTGTACTTTTTACTGGCAATCAATCTTTGAGTGGAAAACTGAATACCAACAAATTCCATAAGCCATCAGTGACACCATTCTAGTTTTGTTTTGTATGAGGAATTAAGAATGAGTTTCTAGGAAATTTCACATGAGAACTTTTATTTCAAAGCCATCAATTCGGCCCCACACCAAGTCCACACCAGAATGGAAAAGAAGACGTTACAAACTTCAGAATATAGAAATTTTGTTGGTACTTAACATTGTCAGGAATCGGATCCTGATTATTTCATACAACTGATCAACCCTAGTGGCTAGTGCGCCTCAGCTTTGACATAAATTCATCAATGTTCTTGTCCGAAGTTCCTTCTTCACCAACTGCCTCTAATGCCAACTCCCTCCATTTCTTAGCATTTTCCTTTATTTCTCTTCCCCTCTCTCCCTCCATTACTTGCCTTATGCAAGACTCAATTTCTTCTCCATTCACAATTCCAGTCTCATGGTCAACCTTAACTCTAATCCCCACCTTCCAAATATCTTCAATATACTTGGCATCTGTCGTCTGGTCCGTCCATTGTGGCATTGCAACCATTGGCACCCCCAAGCTCAATGCTTCGGTCGTTGAATTCCATCCACAGTGAGTGACAAAACACCCCACGGCATCATTCGATAGCACGTCCAATTGAGGACTCCAGTTCACTATTAGGCCCTTGTCGCCGATCTCTTCGTTGAACTCCTTAGGGAGTTTGGCTTCCTCCGAGGCTCTAACCACCCACAAGAAGTAGAAATTGCTCTTCTTTAGGCCCCAGGCAATTTCCTCCATCTGATTGTTGCTTGGACTAGTCACGCTCCCAAAGGATACATAAACCACAGACCTTGGTGGTTTGGTGCTTAGCCAATTGATGGTGGTGGAGAAGTTAAAATCGAAGAGATCAAGACCATAAGATCTGTCATTTTCAACTCGTTTGTCCAAGTACATTGATGGAACTGTTGGTCCAATGGTCAGTAATGGATAAACCTTAGACATCGAATCCACTGCCTGTTCAGAAGTTAATATAACAAAAAACATTTGTGAATTTCTTAATCCTCCTCGTAATAAGAAGTTGCTGCTATAGACAATTTTTTAAAAAGATTTTTCATATGATTAAAATCATTGTGATAACTTTTAACAACGAAGGTGATCTCGGAACAAAAAGTAGTCGCAAAAGTGTTTTAGCAACGACAAAATAAAGTTTACGATGACTCTTTTCGTTGCTAAACATCGCTTTTCTAGTAGCGAAAATAATAATAAAAAAGCAAGAAAATAGAAAAGTAAAGTAACCTCATCTTCTAACTTGTAGAAAGTGTTGACAAGAATGAAATCAGCTTTGTGAATGTTATTAAACTGGTTCAAAACCCTTCCAAGGTAAGCTATAAATGAACCTTCTGAAGAGAAAACGAAGGATGGCAAGTCTCCGGGGTAAAGTAATGGCAATCCAGGGATGGATACAGGGATTGAAGAAACTGGAAGTTTCAACAACCCAAGGTGAACGGTATAGTATATATAATTAACAGCACACATTTGGGTGAAAAAGGCTGCTCCAAGTAACCCAAATTGTTTGGCTACGTCCAAAGCCCATGGCATAGCAGCATCATATATTATGCAATCTATAGGGTTGGGAGTGTTTTCATGTCTTTTTATGAGCTCGGATAGGGTCTTTGACCCGATGGCTTCTAGCCTTGGGAGGTACTATTGAATACCACCGGATTCCGCCTGCCCACCGGCATCATAGCCATCAGAGATTGTGTCTGTTTGGACAGAGCCTGAGGATTCAAGGTTCACGGTGTTGGAGATGAAGACTGTGATGGCTAGGGTGGCTTTGAGACCTTTGGAAACCAAGCGCTTGGAAAATTGGAACATTGGGTTAATGTGACCTTGGATTGGGTAAGGAAGCACTAGCACATGTGATTTGTAAATCTTGTTCTCCATTTTTTTTTCTCTCAAAAAGATGGGTTCAATGCTCAGAATAAATTGACATAAGCCATATTTATAAGATATGACAAAGGAGGGTGGTTAAAACAAAAAGTGTCTAGCAATCTTAGATTTAAATCTCAAAATTATAACCTATTTTTTTAATTCTAAGGTTTTGGCTTCAGTATTTAAAAAAAAAAAAAAAAAGCAAGCTTGCAAGGGAAGAGACTATTTGCCAAGTCAAGTAAATGACTTCAGTTTGAAATCTGGTAGGTTTTAATAAAAGTTAATAGTAGCCTAACTGATGTGTGATGAAGTTGCTAGGAAACTTCAAAACGCAAACACCGCAGCTACGATTTCTTTTTTTTTACGAGGAGAAAGAAAATTTTGAATCTTGTTCTTTGAAAAAAAAAGGCTATGCATGCATCAATAATTGAGCTAAATGTTTGAAAACAAAATGTCTGAAATATTAGTAACTTTGTAGTAGTTTCTAAGAAGAGTTTTTTTTTTAACTTTTTCCCCTTTGTCAAGACGTAAAAGAGAAGTTTCAACCTAGAATAAGATATTGACGAAGACGTTATGACATTACAAGTTGACGAAGAATCAATTTAGACAGTATCAAATTTTTTTTTGTTTTACTAATTTTTTAATTTTTAATTTTAATAAATTTAATGGATTAGATTAAATAATATTTTTTATTTTCACTTGTCCCTCTGATTCTTTAAATATATTAAAATTAAGAATTAAAAAAAATATATAAATCTAAAAAAGTTTTACACGTGGATCCCTCCTTTTACAAGTTAATTAACTCTAGTTGTAAAAGATTAGGGGATGTATGTTAAACGTTAATTAATTAGTAACAATAAGCACTAATTTTTGGGGGAATATTGGATAATTTTCCCGCTAAACTATAGGTGAAGATTAAATTTCAACATTATACTTTGATTTGTTCAAATTTTATCAATATACTTTTATTTTTATGATTTTTGAACAAAAGTTAATAAAAATGGAATATTTCGTAAAATTTTGGTTAATATATAAGTTTTCAATAAAATATTAAATATGATGATGTGGATATTTCACATGATGCAAAAGTGTACATGTAAAATGCCACATTAGAATAATTTTATTTTTTGTTTTTATAAAATTTTACACTAAAATAATTTTTTTTTCAAATATTGAATTTAAAGTAAATTAAAGAAAGACTAATTTTAAGTCATGTGCTCTTATACTACTAATTCTCTTCGCAAGCAAACATATAGAAAGTAATTAATGCAAAAATAATAATAATAATAATAATAAATACTAACTATACTTTTGCCGTTTCTTTTATTACTTTCATATTAATATTAAATATTGGATTAAGTTTCAAGTCACTCAAGAGCTTAGCATGAAAACTATTTTTAAGTTATACATCTAACCTGATAACTTAAAATTGCGATAGAAAAAAAAAACTATAATAAACTATTTTTAAAGGGAAAAATATTTTTGATGGT